CCCAGCAGGCGCGGACACTACCGGTGGAACCGCAGGAGCCAGGTGCGCTGGAGCAGGAGCAGCAGAGGGGACAGGCGGAGCCTCAGCAGGAGCAGACGGGCCAGCCGCCCCCCCCCCCTGGGGAGCCACGGGTGCGGGGGGATGAATCTTTTCAGCGTCTGCTAACGAGGGCTTTGGAGCCGGCGGTAGAGGAGGTTTCAAGGCAGTGGTCGCCCTTTCGGGCTCCGACTGAGGCCTGGCGACGACAGCCGACCAGGCGACAGCGAGCTCTGGCGACGGCTCGCCAGCACCAGGAATCACCATCTCAAGCGCGGGGAGGTCGAGGGACGGAACGGCAAACGGCAAGCGGGGTTGGCGGAGGCCCGGAGAATGGTTACCAGGCAGCGGCTAGAGTGGCTTTAACCAATTTGACTACAGCGAACGATGAAGACGAGCGGCAGGATCCTTCTTATATAGAAGAGGCAGCACCAGCTAGCGAGGGCGAAGAGACAGAGGAAGAGGAAGGCAGGGCGAGAAGGAACACTAGCGGATTGACTGTAGTGGGGGAGCAAGCACGCTTGGACACGCCCCAGGAGACACGCCCACCGCTCGATGCAGAACGGACGGAGGGGATTCCAACCTCCGCTCCCAGGGCACGAGGGAATCGCCCAAGAGGAAATCGGCCAGCAGACATAGGGACTGCAACACGCCCAGCCGCTTCGGTCCCCCGCTATTTTTCGCCAGACGACCTCGCGAAGCGGGTAGACCTGTTCGCTGCAATCAGTATTTGGGATATCACGGCCCTGTGCGACAGTCGCCAGCCTTCACTGTCGCGGTGCTTACCGCCGAATTTGTGTCAGCTGTTCTCACTGGCGATGTTGACGCCGTTACTACACCTCTCACGAAACCCCGAGTCAGAGGCAGGATGGCGCCTGCTGCTATTTCTCCCGCGCCTAACCCTTCGCCAGACCTCGCCTCGCCGTCCGGATTGGACCAAAATCAAAGCTCGTCTCCGAGCCTTCCAGCGTGGCGAATGGGAGCAATTGTACCAGGACGCGGTCGACGCGATCAACATGCCACCTCTGCCCCGCCACCGTCCCGACGCGACAGGTGTGATCAGCCGGGCTGAGTGTCTAGCGAAACGTGGCAGCCTTCGAAGGGCCGTACTCGCCCTTGAGTCAACCCCCGTCTGCACTCCTAGCCCCGAAATTTTGGAAGAGCTGCATCAGAAACACCCTCCAGGAGCGAGCGAAGGGGTGACCTGGCCAACCACGAGTGAGTCAACACTTTCAATCGCCCACGCGGAATTCGCCAAGATGTTGGGCAGATGCGAAAATGGAGTTGGAGCGGGGCCTTCTGGGATGACATTTGAGCACTTGCGCGACGCGTCAATCACAAACGCGTCGGTCCGAACCCATCTGCACGCCTTGGTTAACACCATCCTGGGTGGAAATCTGCCAGGCCCGGTGGCGACCCTCCTGACCGCATCGCGGCTTATTGCTCTAGCCAAGCCGGGAGGAGGCGCTCGGCCAATCGCGATCGGCGAGTGTTTGACCAGGCTGGCAGCCAAGGCTGCCCTGATGGTGATGGGCGAAGCTGCCCGCGATTTCTTCCTCCCCCTTCAGTATGGGGTGGTAGTGCCAGGTGGCGCCGAAACCGTAATCCACGCGGCCAGAGCCTTCCTGGATTCCCACCCTAACAGCCTGGTATTGCAAGCGGACATAAAAAACGCTTTCAACAGTATTTCGCGACAGGCCATCGCCACTGCGTTACACGCCCCCGAACTCTCGCCACTGCTGCCGCTCGTCAAACTAACCTACGGTAACCCGTCGCAGCTGTTCCTGGATTCCAACTACAACTCCGAACCACTGCACAGCGAACGCGGGGTTCGCCAGGGGGACCCACTTGGGCCGCTACTGTTTGCAGCGGGGATTCATGCTACACTACGTGACACTGCAGATGCCCACGCTGGGGTACTTTGCTTGGCGTATGCGGACGACGTGACTTTCATAGGGGACTTTGAAGACACTGTAGCAGCATTTACACATTTCACGAGCAAGCTGTCGTTCCTGGGACTTCAGCACAACCCACACAAGTGCGCCGCCTGGAATTTGAGCGCAGTCCAAGCAGCACACCTACCTCAAGGGGTCCCCCTAACCAAGGACGGCGTGCAATTACTTGGCAGCTTCATAGGGCCTGATAGCGGCGCGACGACATTTCTAACAAGGCAGCTTGACGAGATGGCGAAGCCGCTAAGACTCATCGAACAGACAGACCCACAGGTTGCGGCACTTCTCATCACTCGCTGCATTTCGAGACGGGTCGCATACCTCACACGGACCACTCCTCTCAACCTCCTGCCCCGTGAAAGATGGAGCCAGTGGGGTATGGACCTGCTCACCACGCTCCTCATTGCTTGTGACATCCGCACGCCGACCTGTAGGACGGAGCAGACGCGCATCTGGGAGCAGGCGTCGTTACCCCCATCACTAGGAGGCCTCGATATCACTAATCCCCTCGTCGAAGGGGTTTACGGCTTCGCGGCGAGTTTTACCCAGGCAGCGCTATTCCTCAACGAACTCACGCTGGAAGAGGGGACCGCGCTCTCGTTGGCAAGGAATCATATGCTCCTCCCGCGCGACGTCAGCACTCCACTACACACATGGCTGAGGGGTTGTGAAGCCGCACTGCCAACAGACGCACTGGAGGTTTTAGAGAAGGAGCGGCTGGAGCGTTCTGACATTCGGCTCCAGCACGTGCTCGGACTGAAGGTGCACGGGAGCCGGTATGCCGTACAGGTGCAGGCGACGAGGCGAATGGAGTTGAACCCGCTAGCCGGACACACGCAGCGGATGTACTCCTTGACTGGATATGGCACCGGCGACTGGATTACGGCCATCCCAGTGGCTCCCACAAGGCGGATTGGGCCGGTGCATTTTGCCAATGCAGTACGCTTCCGCCTCGCGTTGCCGTTTTCCACCCCTAAAAACTGCGACTGCTCAGAGCACACGTCCATCACTGACCCCCGGCTCCCAAACCATCTTCTTCGGTGCGGCACGGGCAAGCACCGCACTAACACCCACAATGAGCTGCGGGACGCATGCGTAAGCATGGCGCAGGATGCGGGCTTTATAGTACACAGGGAGTCAACGGCCTACTGCCCCATCGAGGAACAAACAGCTGATTTCACAATGTCGGACAGAAGCAGTGGAGCGGTCTACATCTGTGACGTCACGGTCACTGACCCAATAAGCACTAGGGATCCGGAGGCTCAGAAAGGCAGAGGGTGGGCGGCACGTGAGCAGGCCGACAAGAAGATCAAGCACTATGCCAACCGCCCGGAGACCGTTGGCTTCTTCCCCCTCGCAGTGGACACCTACGGCTGCCCGTGTGCTGAGGTTCCCGTATTCCTCAAGCTCCTGGCAGACTCGGCGGCTCGGCGTCACTTCAACGCCGACTCCAAATCTTTCTATGCCGCCAAGTTCTTGCATCAGTTCCGGCAGCGTTGGTCCGTGGCCCTTCAACGGGCCCAATCCGTGGGGCTTCTGATGAAATTGGGTGAGGCTGCAGCAGCAGAGAATCCTCCTGTGGGGGGCATCGAGCATGAATTGCACCTGGGGGACTGTTTTGCGGTGGTGGAACCACTCCTGGAAATTTAGAGTGGGGTAGCAGGGTGGCAGCAGAGGTAGCCTAGGTGATATTGCATCGTGTTTCATGTTGCTTGCTTTCTACTATGCATGTGTGTACCTTTCGGCTCTATCAATACAAGGACCATTAGAGAGAGAGAGATGAATAGCCTCTGCCCTCTGCCTTAAGCCTCTGCCCCCTTACCTCTAGGCCCTACTTAAGGCCTTCCTAAGGCCGTTTTCTCATTGTTCGTTTGGCGGCTGAAACTTTTCGCTCGTTCGAGAGAGCGAGAGAGAGAGAGAGAGGAATAGCCTCTGCCCTCTGCCTTTAGCCTCTGCCCCCTTACCTCTAGGCCCTACTTAAGGCCTTCCTAAGGCCGTTTTCTCATTGTTCGTTTGGCGGCTGAAATTTTTTCGTCTGAGGAATTGGCGAAGCAAACAGACCTGTTCGCTGCGATTGGGGATTGGGATGTCGCGGCCTTGTGCGACAGACGTCAGCCCTCGCTGTCGCGGCGCTTACCGCCAAATCTGTGTTAGCTGTTCTCGCTAGTGTTACTGACGCCGTTACTGCATCTCTCCCGAAACCCGGAGTCGGAAACAGGTTGGCGTCTGTTGTTGTTTCTCCCGCGCCTGACCCTTCGCCAAACCTCAGGCAGCGGTGGTCGGTTGCCCTTCAGAGGGCGCAGTCAGTGGGCCTGCTTATGAAACTGGGTGAGGCTGCAGCAGCAGAGAACCCTCCGGTAGGGGGTATTGGGCATGAGCTACACCTAGGGGATTGTTTTGCTGTTTTGGAGCCACTGGTGGAACTCTAGAGGGATTAGTCTGAAACTCGCATGCTTCTGAAACTACATGTGTGTACCTTTCTGCCATATCAATATACGGACCATTAGAGAGAGAGAGAGAGATAGAGAGAGAGAGAGAGAGAGAGAGAGAGAGAGAGAGAGAGAGAGAGAGAGAGAGAGAGAGAGAGACTAGGGAACCAGCCCTTAGATTTCAGCAGCACCCCTCTTTTCTCCTATGGGTAGCCTAGTGGTAGGAGCAGCTAGGCCACTCCCTCTCTAAGTGTAGCCCAGCCCCATAGCCTATAGTGAGTACAGTTCCTTTCTTAAGCCCACAATCTGCATTTTGGATCCTCATTAGTTACTGGCAAGTCATCTCCCCAACCCAGCGGCTCGCGCCGGCCGCCGAAGGCGGCCGGCGCTCGACAGCGCGGCCTTCGGCCGCGCGTTAGCGATGGCAAGGGGTAGGGGACCAAGCTCTATAACAACAGGGTTCACAACGCTTAATATGCAACACCGGCACAAGAACCCACCACAAAACCCCCTGGCGTAACCACAACACACATGGGAAAGCCCAAGCCCAGGACAAGCAAGGCCGGGAAGGGGAAAGCAGAACCTAATCGGCGCGGATCAAAGCCAGCCGCCCGTCCAACCAGCGCAACAGCGCCGAGGCGGCTGGCACAAGGTCGAGGGGGGCATGACGGACTGAAGAGGCCAACCGCCTCACAGCAGAAGGCCCGGGACCAGAACCCAGCCCCGGGGAGCCTGTCTCGAGGCCCATCTGCGGGAGGCTCCCCATCATCCGCCGCGCCGCCGTCACCACAACGGCCCGCTGCCTCTTCGACAAAGGTGGGCAGACAACACGCCCACGTAACAGCCCTGAATGCAGCTAATCAAGCACCAACGCCAGCAGCTCCAGGACAGTCCCCACAGTCGCAACGCGCTGCTCGACGCGACGAAGCCGCTCTACAGGCGGACACTCCTCCCACCGACTACAGGGCTCATCGGGAGCGGCAGCAGAGGCTACGGGTGCGGCAGCCGGCTGGGGAGTCGACAACACCTCACATGGTCTTGGGATCTCACACCCCCCAAGAAACAACTGTGGGAGCGCGCGCGGGGGGAGAGCAGGCGGTGCTGTTGGAGCGGGCAGAACAACCGCAGAGGCAGAGGGAGCTGACGGCAACGGGGAAAAAGAAGGCGGAGGAGCTGCCTGCAGAACAGATGGGGACTGTGGCGGGAGCGGCGACGACGAGGGTTGCGACGGCGGCGACTGAGCCTGCGGAAGAAGATGGGACAGCGGAGGAGAGGACCCTGGCACCAACGATCGCGGACAACGCGGGAGAGGCGGAGGAAGGCCCGACTGACGGCGAGTACGACGGAAGGACTGTTGCTGACGCGGTCGCAAAAACGCATGAGTCCGCCCAGGAGGGGAGCGATACACCGGCTGGTGCGAGCCACCACGGCGACCATGCCGAGGAGGCCCGCCACGCCGGCCGCGAGACGACTGGGAAGAGGATCCGCGTCCAGCCAGCACCGCGAAGGCTCGGAGCAGGCCTGGCACCGGGTCCCCCGGGGCCCCTCCGGGGATGGCATCTGCAAGAGCAGACGCCACAAGTCCAAGGGCACCGTCAGCCATCGAGGGGTACGAGCAGCAGGGAGACCGCAAGGGGTGGAGGCGGAGGCGAACCGCAAACCGAACGGACAGCGACTCGACCACAACCACAGGTAGGAGTAACAGCAGCCGGGAACGACGCCCAGCCAGAAACGGAAGGCAGGGCGACTCGAAGCCGCGCAAGAGGAGGCAGAATCGCCTGGGGACCACCGAAAGGCGGACGATCGACCGTGAGGCAAGCGCCGTGGATGCCGGCGGGACGAGGGAGCGCAACCCGCGGAGGGCAAGGAGGGAACAACGGCGCTGGCAGGGGAAGAGCACGCGGAGACCAAGGCGGGGGACGAGGAGGAAGAGGGGGGAGAGGGCCAGTCGTGGGCAGAGAGCCAGCATTGGTTAGATCCGGGACGTGGCGGGAGCGACACAACCGTCCGGAGATTGAGCACGAGGTGGCAAATGAGGAGGAAAGCACTGACGACAACGACAGTGGGAGTGAATTTAATCCTGACAATGAGCACGTTTCGGAGGAACTCTCACTGTCCGGGGGGGAGAGTGAAGAAAGAATTGCCACACGGGGTAGGGCAAGATTTGGAGATGGCGGGAGAGGCAACAATGAGGAACCGGTAGATGGCGCGGGACCAGCACCACAGCCGGAGCCAAGCATACGTCAACCATCTGACCTGGCGAGGGACACTGGACTATGGCAACAGGTGGCATCATGGGACACGACAAAGCTCCAGCAGAGCAATCAGCCCTTCCTTGTCCGACGGCTGCCACCTAAGCTATTGGAGAGCTACACCCAATGTCTACTGACCCCGCTCCTGAGAGCGACGGAATATCCCGACTGTCCAGGAGGTTGGAAACTGTTGCTGTTCCTGCCGAGGCTAACCCTGCGACCTTTGCCGGAGCCAGTGGAAGGGACTCGGTGGGCAAAAATCGAGCACAGGCTACACCAATTCAGGCTCGGCAGGTGGGACGCGCTCTACACTGAGGCGTGTGTCATCCCCTACACAGGAGAACCGTTACAACACCAGCCTGACGATGTGGGCCTGTGTGCTAGAGCAGAAGGGCTCGTCAAAAAAGGGAACATTTCGAAAGCGGTTGCAGCGTTACGCGTAACACCACTGGCGGACACATCGCCAGAGACCCTCGCAGCGCTACGAGCGAAACACCCAACCGCAGTAACGCCAACACCTGCGTTGGTTACAGGGTATGCCACTGCCTCACTCAGCATCAGCCATGACGACCTCCGCGATCTGCTGGCGAAATGCCCGAATGGAGTGGGAGCAGGCCCATCAGGCACCTGCTTCGAACACCTGAAGGATCCCGCCCACACAAACGAGGAGGCTCTCATACTACTCACGCGCTTAGTTAACCACCTGCTTGGAACACTCCAGACCCAGGAGGTCCGCGACATGCTACTCCCTTCACGCCTCATCGCCCTAGAAAAGCCAGGGGGCGGGGTACGACCTATAGCCATTGGCGAGACCATACTCAGAATAGTGGCGAAAGCGGCACTACGCGAATTAGCACCGAACATAAGAGAGTTTTTCCTACCTGTGCAATACGGAGTGGGAGTCATGGGCGGAGCCGAATGTGTCATACACACCGTCAGATCGCTCATGCGGGACGATAGCAAGTGCATCGCGCTGCAGCTAGATATCGAGAATGCCTTCAATAGCGTAGAACGTTCTGCCTTCTTCACTGCGCTCTCCCGGTCCAACCTGCAGCCGCTCATACCCCTCGTCCGCACGCTCTATGACGGACCCTCCCGCCTGCTCGTCGACACACGCTTCAACACAGATCACATAGCGAGCACCAGGGGGGTGCGACAAGGAGACCCATTGGGCTAACTACTCTTTGCCGCGGCCATCCAACCTACCCTACTCACGACGGCCACGCTCCTCCCAGAGGTGGCGGTTGTAGCCTACGCAGATGATATCACGATCGTAGGCCCACAGGAGGCGGCGTTTTTAGCGTTCGACTCCATCACCCGCGGTCTAGCATCATGCGGGCTGAAGTGCAACATTGGGAAATCCTCCCAACATGGACACCCAACGGGATAGAAGCCCAGGATGGAACGCCTCCAGAGGGGTTAGAGATGAGCAGAGAAGGCATCCTGGTGCTGGGCAGCCCCATCGGCACAGAGGAATTCTGCACAAATCAGATTGTCGCGAAGCTCACTGATGCCTCCACACCACTCCCCTTAGTCGCCCAGATGCACCCTCAACACGCCCTGCTCATCATCTCGCGAAGCATCAGCAGGAGGGTGTCCTACCTGCTACGCACCACACCATCACAAGCACTGCCGAGAGAGAGCTGGAGGGGATGGAGCGAAACCTTGCTGGAAGCGGCGCTCACCTCGGCGAAACTACGGATGCCGAGGTGTGAGCTCAAACAGAGTTTGCTCTGGCGACAGGCAACACTCCCAATACGGCTCGGGGGGCTGGGCATTGTGGACCCAACCTCGGAGGCACCGGCAGCACACATTGCATCAATTACAGCGGCGCAACAACTGCTGCAGCAGATGAACATTGAGAAAGAGCACCTACTCAGCCGGGCAACAACACTGCTCTCTCACACTTGGAACTCGGAGCCCCCCAAAAGCAACCAGCTCACGACACTGGAGGAGGAGCTCCCTGCAAGTGCACGAGCAGCCCTGCATGCCTTTAGAGAACGCCCACCAGGTGCAGGCAACCTGCAGTTGCTCCTATCCAGGCACATCTGGGAGACTAAGGCAAGGGAGCTCGTGGCAGACACAATGATGGATAGGCCGGGGAAAGACAACGGGCACGCAGTGAGACTCATCGGCCTGCAGGGAATAGGGGCAGGAGATTGGCTGCACGCGGTGCCAACGAGGGCTGACCTTACATTATCCCCTGGTCAGCTCTCGATGGCGTTGGGCTTCCGTCTAGGCATGCAGCTGCCGGTTACAGTAAAGTGCCCTTGCAAGCGGAAAAACTCGGACATCAGCGACACCTCGCTCCCGAATCACCTACTTAGATGTGCTGATGGAGGAGACGTGGTTAGGACACATGATGCACTGGTGTATGCAGCACTCCGGATGGCGAGGGAGGCAGGTTTCTCGACCTTCCACGAAACCACCACCTTCTCCCCCCCCGTGCTACGTAAGAGGGCGGATTTAGCAATCCAGGACCAGGAATCGGGTGAAACCTTTGTCACGGACGTGACCGTGACCGACCCAGTCCTATAGAGGCGCGACACCAGAGCACGGAAGCCGCCAGGGTGGGCGGCCAAGGAAGCCTCCGAGAGCAAGCATAGGCTCTACGAGGGTCTCCCAGACTGTGTGGGGTTTTTTGGGTTGGCGGTGGAGACATACGGGGCCTTGGCAGCAGATACGGTGCAGTTTTTGCGGCTGCTAGCAAATTCGGCAGCAAAGAAGAAATATCGCCAAGGCAAACTCACTACCACAGCTGCGCGGCTCACAGCTCACTACAGACAGCGGTGGTCCATAATGCTCCAGCGTAGCCAAGCGGTGTCCTTCCTTTCCAAGTCAAACCGAGCTGCTGAGGCGGCCTTCCCTCAGGGACCCACGGATCCATGGGAGCCCAGCTTGGGAGACCTCTGGCAGGTGCTAGAGGATGAGATGGAGGGGGTACTGGGGGAGTAGGGCAGCACGGGCTGGTCAGGAGGGCAGCTGAACAGGGAGGACAAGGGCTCAGGCTGCTAGGTGAACAGGGAACAGGAGATGGAGCGACTTGAGGGCACCAGGCCTGGTTTGTTGCAGGAAGCACTCACATGCACCTATATCTTGCAGGGCCATGAATGCAGGCATAACTAGGGTAGACAATGGCCTAGTCTCTACTCATGCCATGCTTGTACCTTTCTGATCTTATCAATGAAGGACTGCTTGAGAGAGAGAGAGAGAGAGAGAGAGAGAGAGAGAGAGAGAGAGAGAGAGAGAGAGAGAGAGAGAGAGAGAGAGAGAATCACCTAGTGACTTAGCCTCTCAAGCCTCCCCAAGCCTCCCCTAGCCTCCCTAGCCTCCCTAGTCCTAGTATAAAGGCCTCAGCAGGCCTTGTGGCCTCTTCATTATTCAGTTTTTGGTTGGGTTTCTCTCCTAACCGAGCGGCTCGCGCCGGCCGCCTTCGGCGGCCGACGCTCGACAGCGCGGCCTGCGGCCGCGCGCTTGGGACGACAAGGCAACAACAAGCAACTATACGGACCACTGCATACATCCATGGCAAGCCACACAAGTTCCTAGGCAAGACTAAGCAATGGAGCAGGAGGAGGCGGCAACTACATGCGATCCGCCTCAAGGGGACCGAGAATCCCTGTCAGGGACCTCCACAACTCCTGTACCACCAACGAGCTTGCGCCGATCGCGTCGGCTGCAGACCCTGCGCGCAAACATCGCCGCAGACTACGAACGGCAGCGTCGAGCTGGCCCACAGCCCCAACGGCTCCCCGCGCGGGCGCAGCCAACACGGGCACCAGGAGGAGGGAAAGCTGCTCCGCCGCGTCAAGGCAATCCTCCCGTTGACCGTCAAGGAGGATACCCAGGGGAGCCCGCGTCAGAGACGCGTGCGCCTGCACCTGAATCAGCAGGAGGGCACGTAGGCTCTCAGAGAGCCGCCACACCTGGCCAAGCGTCGCCTCCGGCACGCGCACCTGTGGGGGAGGAGCCCCTAGGGCAGGAAAAGGAAAGTGAGCAGCGACGACAAGTGGAGCAGCATCAGACGAGTGAGCCGCCACCGCCCCTCCCGCCGCGGACTCAGCCTCCAGGCCCGCCACAGGAGGCACCCGCGGCAGCCGAAGGTGCGCCCCAGGTGCGGAGGTTGACGCAGCAGGAGCAGGAGGAGGAGGACGAGGAGGAGGAGCCACAGCAGGATGCACGGCCACAGGAGGTGCGGCAAGGGGAGCCACAGGCGCGGGCGCGATATGCCGCGAACTGCCCCAGCTGGCCTGCTCAGCCCTCCCCTCGCGCATTGCAGCCGAAACGACCCGCTGAACATCCGCAAGCGTCAGCGGTGGCTCATACGCCCCGCCACCACGACCGCGACCACCCCTCCAACCACCGCGACCTCCACGGTGGGCAGGCCAGTCCGCCTGCGAATGGCGACGCCGAGGAGAATCACGACGGCGTCGCGACGACTCCCGCTCATCCCGCGGCAATGGCGAGTGAGGTCGAGAGGGACGGCGATGTGGGGACGGATGACGCTGAGCCGGCCGGGCAGCAGGGGATGACGCAGGAGCCGACGGCGAAACGACATCCCCCGCCTGGTACAGGACGGCGCTGGTGGCTGGAGGCGGCTGGTAAGACGGGTCAGCAGCAGCAGCAGAAGGCGCCCCGGCGGGCGCAGCCCGTGGCGGCACGGAGGCCGCCACAGCAGCCGCATACGAAGACGCAGCAGCGGGCGCAGGAGGTTGGGCCAGAGCAGGCGCCGCGGCAGGCGCAGGAGCAGACGCGGCTGCCGGCACCGGGGCAGTCGCCGCAGCAGGCGCAGGAGCAGACGCCACACCGCGTGCTCCAAGGTGCGCAACTTCAGGAGCAGGAGCTGTCACCACAGCAGGCGCAGACACAGGATCAGGAGGGGGCGACATCCCCGCAGGCGCCGGAGCCGGTGCCGATACAGCGGGAGGGGCAACGACTGCTGACGCCACGGCAAAGGGCCTTGGCGAATACACGAGATAGTCCCCAAGCGCGACAGGCATCTCAGCGAGGCCGAGGCGCGGGGCAGCGGAACACGGGTGGACGAAACGGCGGACCGGAGAACGGGTTCCAACGAGCAGCGCGAAGGGCTTTAACTCGAGAAGCAGCTAATGAAGAGGAAGCTCGGGACGCTACTTATATTCCCACAGAGGTAGCTGAGTCCTCAGAGGAAGACGCAGCCGTAGAGGAATCGAGCCTGCCAGGGGAGAGAATCGCAACACCAAGCCAAACCGCATCGAGAAATTTGGCCGGCCCCCGAAACCGAACCGCATCTGGACAAATTTCCCGCTCCCGAGCCGCGCCAAATTCTGCACCAACAGGTCGGCACGCCCCTCCTGGCCGAACCCAACCCACCACCACCCAGCCAACGCTCCCAACACCGCTGGAGGAAAAATCGCCAGAGGCACTGGCTGCTGATAACACGCTTTTCGCGGCCGTGGAAACTTGGGACTTGACGAAACTCTGCGACACTCGCAACGCACCTCTGCCACGCCACCTCCCACAGGACATCCGCCCAATTTTTGCGACTGCGCTGCTAGCCCCTCTGCTCCGACTGGCTGACAACCCAGAATCACTGACAGCATGGACAGTTTTCCTGTTCCTCGCACGCCTGACGCTGAGACAACACACTCCTCAAAAACCGGATTGGCCAGCAGTCAGAGAAAGATTACGACAGTTCTTGGCGGGGGAGTGGAGCGCACTGTACTCTGACTTGCTCGACTCTCTGACCAACCCTCAAGCGCCCAGGCATACCCCCGACGACCTGGGAGTGATTGCAAGGGCAGAAGGCCTTGCGCGACGTGGCAGCCTAAGGAGAGCGGTTCTTGCCCTGGAGGCGACGCCGGTGTGCACCCCGTCACCAGCAATCCTGGAAGCACTACGCGCCAAGCACCCACCTGCTCCTGAAGCGCCCCTCATTTGGCCGGTACCTGACCCCAACGCCCACTTGACAGCCACCCTGCCTGAGTTTCTCAGAGTTCTGTCACGCTGTGACAATGGGATTGGGGCGGGCCCATCAGGTCTGACATTCGAGCATGTGCGAGAGGCGTGTCTAGTCAACCAGTCAGTAGCGACAAACATCCACGCAATGGTCAACACCATTCTGACAGGGAAACTGCCATCCCCAGTCGCCAGGCTCCTCACAGCGTCTCGCCTACTGGCTCTCTCCAAACCAGACGGAGGGACAAGGCCGATCGCTATTGGTGAAAGCATCACCAGACTCGCCGCCAAAACAGCTCTGATGTTGACAGCAGGGGCGGCAAGAAAATTCTTCATGCCACACCAGTTCGGCGTGGCGGTGCCCGGGGGAGCGGAGGCGGTTATCCACATCACCCGCGCCTACCTATCTGAAAATCCTCACGCACTATTCCTCCAGGCAGACCTAGCCAACGCCTTCAACAGTGTCAACAGAGCTGCAATAGCATCCGCGCTAGACAACTCGGCTCTAGCACCACTACTACCACTAGTACAGCTCACCTACGGGGCCCCCTCACCGCTCTACCTGGACGAGGGCTTCAAGCATGAGCCCCTGCTAAGCACGACGGGAGTTCGGCAGGGAGACCCTCTTGGGCCACTGCTGTTTGCAGCTGCAATCAATCCCGCGCTACAAGCTACAGCCCAGGCCTTCCCTACTGTAGCCTGCCTAGCGTACGCAGACGACGTCACCTTCCTAGGGGAGCAATCTACCTGCGTAGCAGCGTTCCAGCACTTCACTGAGAGCCTCATGCCAATTGGCCTGCATCATAACCCATCTAAATGCGCGGCTTGGTCACAGTCAGGCATCCCCACCTCTGCCCTACCCCAGGGCGTCCCGTTCACTGGAAACGGCGTGAAGCTGCTAGGCAGTTTCATAGGCTCCGATGAGGCCACAGCAGACTTCATCCGTTCAAACCTTAGCTCCATGGCGGCACCTCTTGGCCTGATAGCACGGATGGAACCTCAGCTGGCTGCCCTGCTACTCGCCAGGTGTATCTCAAGACGAGTTTCTTCCCTCATCCGGACCACACCCCTCATGCATATGCCTCTGTATGAGTGGTCTGGTTGGGGCAGGCAGTTGTTTGAGACTCTGTTAACGGCATGTGGCATTAGTCATCCGCGGGGTGATGCTGAGATCTCTCGTACATGGTCCCAAGCTTCGCTGCCAGTATCACTTGGGGGCCTCGGAATCACTGACCCCGCGGTCGAGGGCAGCTACAGCTACCTAGCTAGCTTTACCCAGGCACAGCAGCTGCTCTCAACCCTTGAAGATAGCCAGCTGGGGCCCCTGACAGGGACACGGGTGCAGATGATGGGACCGTATACAGACTCCTGCGCTCTCTACCGCTGGCTAGCTCAGTGCGAGGCAGACCTACCGAGTGATGCCGGGGAGCTACTACAGAGTGACAGGGCTGCTCCCACGGGTGTGAAGCTGCAACAGGGGCTAGCTTTGGCAGTTCAGGGCAGAAGGTATGCTAACCAGGTGGAGAGCACAAGGGGCATGACCCCAAACCCCAATAGCGGCCATACGCAGCGCCTTCTCTCTTTGTCAGGGTACGGAGCCGGGGACTGGCTCCATGCAGTCCCGCTCATGCCCTCCCTGAGGCTCGACGGTCCCCAGTTTGCCACAGCCCTACAGTTCAGGCTAGGACTACCATTTTCAGCCCCCGGCGCTTGTGACTGCACCAAGCAGGTTCCCATCCCAGACAATCGGCTTCCAAACCATCTGCTACGCTGCGCCACAGGAGGGGGAAGGACAAATACTCACAACGAGCTGAGAGATGAGTGCATTAGGATGGCACAGTACGCCGGGTTCATGGTGCACAAGGAAACGTCGGAGTTCTGCCCGGTCACTAGGAAGACAGCGGACCTCGCCATTCGTGAACGGTCTTCAGGGGCAGTATGGATCGGGGACGTCACCATCACTGACCCCATCAGCACACGTGACCCCAATGCGGTGAAAGGGAGGGGGTGGGCTGCCAGGGAAGCCGCTGACAAAAAAATCTCAGACTACAGCAGCTCCCCGGCAGCCTACGTCTCATTCGTACCCCTCGCAGTCGAGACTTATGGCTGCCCATGCGCAGAGGTCCCCGCTTTCCTCAAGCTCTTGGCTCACACGGCTGCACGCAAGCTCTTCAACGCCGACCCTTCAACCTACCAGGCGGCAAAACTACTCAACCAGTTCCGCCAGAGATGGTCGGTCGCCCTTCAGCGCGCGCAGGCCGTAAGCTACATGGCCAAGTGCAACATGGCAGCAGAGGCCCAGAACCCTCTTGTCGGGGCCCCTGGCGAGGAAATGTCCCTGGGGGACTGTTTTGTGGTGCTCGAACCTACTGCTGAGCCCCCTTAGGAGCTTCCAGTGGAGGGGGGGTGGCTGGTGGGTAGGGTTGTAGGTTGATCTTCGGATCTGGGTTGCTGCTAGGTTGTTCTTTTAGTCTCTAGTGTTGCCTGTTTCTATTGTGCCTCGATCGTTTGTACTCACCCGTTATATCAATACAAGGACCGCTTGAGAGAGAGAGAGAGAGAGAGAGAGAGAGAGAGAGAGAGAGAGAGAGAGAGAGAGAGAGAGAGAGAGAGAGAGAGAGAGAGAGAGGCCCTAGGAGCTAGTCCTTAGCCGTTTTTTAGACCTTCTCCCCTAGGATCTAGTCCTTAGCCGTTTTTAGAGTACTCCCCCTAGTATAAAGCCCCTAAACCTATCCCTGTGAGCTCATTCTTCACTGGTGAGTCTAGTTCACTCTCCAAAACCGGCGGCTCGCGCCGGCCGCCTTCGGCGGCCGCCGCTCGCCGGCGCGGCCTGCGGCCGCGCGTGAGGTGCGGCAAGGAAATCCCAATGACATGTTTCATAATAGCATTCGATACAACATGCAGTGGTAGGGCCCTACAGCAAAAGCAACACCCCCGAGTGTGCCTACACCACCATGGGGAAGCCCAAGGCTAAACCCGCTGGGAAGGGGGAAAGCAGAGGGGACAAGCCGGCTACTCGGAGAGTATCCAGCACAGCCTCCCGTCCATCCAGCGTAGGACGGATGCGGCGGCTGATACAAGACCAAGAGGGGCCCCCTGCGCAGACTCAGCAAGCCGCAGCATTGCCCCAGGGCCGGGCCCGAGCGCAGCACCAGGGGCGCCCTGGACAAGCCCGATTAGGGGGAGATAATGCAGCATCTCCCTTGCGGCGGACACCGCCGCTGACTGCTCCGACGGCAACATCCCCCCAACCTCCACACCCTGCCGCGCCAGACACACATGGAGTTGGTCCAGCACGTAGGACAGCAACGTCAAACACGTCCCCACGTGCATCACGCGCTGCTCGACGTAGAAAGGAGTCGCTGCCACATGAGGATCCTGTGGAACGTGTGGGAATAACTGCACATCGGGAGGCGCCGGAGGAACAGGAGACGACGGGGGGCGAGGCGGCTGCGGCCGAGGCGGCAGGGGGAAGTGGCGCAATGGGGTCTGAGACAGAGGTGGCCGCGACAGTTGAGGATGCAGCTGCTGCGGGGCTGGAGGGGGTTGCTGCTGAGGCGACTGAGACGACGGCTGCTGCTGAGCCTGGCGGGCCTGACGCTGCCTCTGGCGGCGGCTCAGCCTCACCCTCTCCCATCCCCTAGGCACGGCAACCGGGGGAGACGGGACCACCAGTGGCTCAAGAACCGACCGTGGCGGTGGAGCTGACGGCGTCACCGGAGCCTGTAACGGCGTCTGCACCGGCTGCGGTGGCGACGGCGGCGACAGTGGAACAGGGCGGAGCCCGGACCGAGGAGGATGCGCCGGTCGCCGGTGCGGACGCCGAAACCTCTGTAATAGCCGAGGGCGCAAACACGCAGGGACACGACCTGGGGGGGAGCGGTAGACAGGGCCGCGGAGCTGTCGGGACTGCCGGCGCCGCCCGCAGGAAAATGGCGCCTCGAGCCCGGCCAGCACCGAGGCGGCCCGGAGCAGGGCTGGGACTTGGTCCCCCGGGACCCCTCCTGGGCTGGCTTCTGCAAGGGCAGTTGCCACAAGGGCAAGAGCGTCATTTGCCATCTGCGGGAACAAGTGACGAGAGAGGGGAAGCAAGCGACGGGATCAGGCCCACACCCACACCGACCATAGTGACAGGGAACACGAGGGCGGACCCTGCAATGCAACAACCCCCGCGTCAAGTATTGCGGAACCCGACGGGCGGAGAGGAGGGAACGACCACGGCTACCGCCACGACTCAACAGACTCCTCGGCGTGAAGCCCGCAGTGCCACGAGGGCGCAATGCATCACCTGGGGCCAGCCAAGGGCTGATCAGGCAACGCCGATGGTGACACCGTGGATCCCGGCGGGAGCACCGCAACGGGCGGGCCGAGTCGAGCAGAACACCGGCCTTCGGGGGGGAGAAATGGCCCGCAGAGCAAGGGGAGGAGTGCGAGGGGCCAGAAGGGGACTCAGCGGGAGAGGCCCAATTGTCGGCGGAAGGGCCGCGCTCGTGAGAACAGGAACGTGGCGGGAACGCCACGAGCGACCAGAGCAAGCGGAGCGTACACCAAATCAAAACGACGAAGCTGATGAAAACACCGATGAGGGGGGTGATTATGTAGCTGAGTCGGCGGAACCATCGGAGGAAATCTTGTTGGAGGCGGAGGAGGGAACACACATGACGAGAACAACTGGGGAACGAAGGAGAACCCAGAACAATGGGGTAAACCCCCGGGGCGATAACCCACAGGGTGCGGGAATTGGGAACGAGGGAGCGCCAAGAGCAAGGGGGAACCCAAGTGTGGTGGGAGAAAATGGGGACGCAACCAACGAGGGACAGAGCGACTCTGGGGTCATGGGCAGCTGGCAGAGGATTCTGACCTCTGGGAGCTGGCAGCCACGTGGGATAAATACCCACTCCAAAAAGGGGATCAACCCTTCTTGGTCCGCAGAATGCCGCCCAGGATCCTGGAAAGTTACTCGCTCTGTCTCCTGGCGCCCCTCATTCGACTCTCGAAGAATCCTGACTGCCCAGGTGCATGGGCGATCTTGCTGTATCTGCCGAGGTGGACGCTACGCCCGGCCTCCAAACCTGTTGAAGGCAGCCGGTGGACAGAAATAGAGCTGCGCCTGCACCAGTTCCAACGCGGCAGCTGGCAGGCTCTGTACACCGACGCATGTGTTATCCCCGATAATGAAAACCCGACACGACACCAGCCGGATGACGCAGGTTTATGCGCGAGGGCGGAAGGATTGATACAAAAAGGAAACATTTCCAAGGCGGTAGCAGCGTTACGAACTACACCACACGCGAAAGCGACGGCAGAAACATTGACTGCACTTCAAGCGAAACACCCCGCGGCCGAAACTTCGCTACCAGGATCGGTTACCGGGTTCAACCGTTCGACCCTCAGTGTATCAACAGACGAACTTCGCGAAATCTTGAAGAAATGCCCGAACGGGGTTGGAGCCGGCCCATCTGGCACCTGTTTTGAACACCTCAAGGATCCGGCACTGGCGAACGGGGAGGTGCTTATTCTACTCGCTAAGGTGGTGACGTACCTGCTGGGCACGTTCCAAATACAAACGACCCGAGATCTGCTGCTGCCATCACGGTTGATCGCTCTAGAAAAACCAGGCGGTGGAGTCCGGCCTATTGCGATAGGGGAGGCCATCCTTCGAGTTGTAGCTAAGGCGGCACTACGTGGTTTAACCGAGAACATTAAGGCCTTTTTCCTACCAGTCCAGTTTGGGGTAGCGATACCGGGTGGCGCGGAATGTATCGTCCACTCCGTCAGATCGCTACTGAGAGACGATGACACACGAGTAGCACTGCAGCTGGACATAGAAAACGCCTTCAACAGTGTCGAACGGGCGGCTTTCTTCAACGCTCTCTCCCAGTCCAGTCTACTGCAGCTAATGCCCCTGGCCCGAACACTCTATGAGGCACCGTCGCCACTCTTGGTTGACGAGCGGTTCGGAGTGAACCAAATCCTCCCGTCACGCGGAGTGCGTCAAGGGGACCCGCTCGGTCCACTACTCTTCGCGGCAGCTATTCAACCATGCCTGCTAAGTACGGCGACCCTCCTACCGGAAGTCGCGATAGTAGCCTACGCCGACGACATAACGATCGTGGGGCCAAAGGAGGCCTGCTATGAGGCCTTTGGGGCCATTACCAGGGAGCTGGCAACACTCGGCCTCCGCTGCAACATCGCGAAATCGTCGGCCTGGGGACAGTCGTTGGCGGAAGACGGCAGCACGCCACCTCCCATCGGCCTGCAGCAGACCACCGACGGGATCCGAGTCCTAGGCAGCCCAGTAGGCGTGCCCACCTTCTGCACCAACCAAGCACAAACATGGCTTGTTGAGGCGTCGGCCCCGCTGCCCCTGGTGGCGCAGCTCCACCCGCAGAGTGCAATGCTCATCCTCACGAGGAGCATATCCCGCCGAATGTCCTACTTCCTGCGAACGACACCGGCGGAAGTCTTGGGGAGAGATGAGTGGAGGAGCTGGAGTGAGAACCTGATGGCAACGGCTCTAGCAGCAGCGAAGCTCCGAGTACCCTCAGATGAGCTGGAGAGGAGTTTGTTATGGCGCCAGGGGAGTCTGCCGATCAGGCTGGGAGGCCTGGGGATTCTTGACCCAGTCTCCGAGGCACCTGCGGCCTACATCGCCTCGGTCACAGCGGCGCAGCAGCTGCTGAGCCAGGTGAACTTGACCCCTTCAGCAGGGCGGTCGAGCTGCTCTGCCCTGATTGGACCCCAGCCCCGCCTAGCATCAACCCCCTGACAACTTTGGAGGCCGGGCTACCCCTAGCGGCACGGGCGGCACTGCACACTTACAGGGAGCAGCCGGCGGGACAGGGGAACCTTCAACTGACCCTGTCCCGCCACATCAACGAGACGAGAGCGGCGGAGCTGCTGGCCGACACAATAGAAGACCGCCCAGGGAAGGACCGGGGGCACGCATTGCGGCTCATCAGCCTGCAAGGGGTAGGCGCGGGGGATTGGCTCCATGCCGTCCCAACGAGATCTGACCTTACTTTTGCCCCTGGTCAGTTCTCGTTGGCACTTGGCTTCCGCCTCGGAATGGCTCTGCCAGTCACAACCACCTGCCCGTGCAAGCGAGCCAACACTGCAATCACGGCCACGAGCTTGGCAAACCACCTCTTACGGTGTGGGCAAGGAGGAGATGTAGTCCGCACACATGATGCTCTAGTGTTTACTTTGCTCCGGATGGCAAAGGAGGCCGACTTCATGGTTTTCCACGAAACCACCGCCTTTTCCCCACCGGTGCTGAGGAAGAGAGGAGACTTGGCTATTTGGGACAAGGAGTCAAATGAGACTTGGGTCACACACGTGATAGTGACCGACCCAGTGCTGCAGTGCCGTGACAAGCGCGCCCGGAAGCCGCCTGGATGGGCGGCACGAGAAGCCTCAGAGAAGAAACACAGGCTCTATGAGGGGCGGCCTGACTACGTGGGTTTCTTCGGGTTGGCAGTGGAAACCTACGGTGCCCTGGCTACGGATACCCAACAGTTCATCCGCTTGCTAGCAACCTCGACGGCGAAAACCAGGTTCCGCCAGGGGAGGCTCACCACCACCACTGCTCGGCTCACCGCTCACTACAGGCAGCGCTTCAGCGTTATGCTCCAGCGCTCACAGGCCTCGTCATTCCTGAACAAGTCGAACATAGGGGACGTGGCAGCCTTCTCACAGGTTGCCAGGGACCCCTGGGAACCTAGCCTAGGGGATCTCTAGCAAGTCCTGGAGGATGAGATGGATGGGGTGATGGGTCAGTGAGCGGGATAGATACTGCACGGGGTCTGGCTAAGTGTTAGCCAAATGCTTCTCTGGCTCAGGCCTCTGTGGATTGCTTTGCCTTGCCTTGCTTGCGTGGCTCGGGTGGGCCTTGCTTTGTGGGCCTGTTCTGTGTGTGTTTTGCACCCCCTCACTTGCCCCCAAGTTCCTGACCCTCTGTCACAAAGGATTTGCTAGCCTGGCCACCCGTGGTGCCCACCTCGGCCTTGCCAAGCATTACCGGCTGCTCGCAGTACTAGGGATGTTCTGCACCTGTTCTTGCCATGCCTGTACCCCTATGAACCTATCAATGAAGGACTGCTTGAGAGAGAGAGAGAGAGGCCTAGTATAAAGTGCTTTATACTAGGCTGGAGAGTGCTGGAACACACTAGACCCGCCCCCTTTCCCTTCCGGCCCTAGTGGCCGGAGGGGTCTTCTATCAGTTGGTACAGCTGGCCCTCGCCCAGTGGAGTGAAGGATCCCTGCAGGCCAAGCGCATCCTCGGTAAGAGCCTCATGGGTCTTATCCCTGAGGGCGTTGGCTTTGGCTCTTTGTAGGCTCACGCTCCATCGCTGTCGGTACTCGGTAAGTAGTTTTGCCACCTCCCTCGACTTTGGGGAGGCGTTAAACCGCCGCTTTGCCGCTAGCTCCGCGCAGCTGCGAAGGAAATCTAGGACTCCAGGTGAGGGGTAGCCATAGGTCTCCACTGCCATGGCGTAGAAGCCCACCCATGGGCTCCGCCCGGCGTACTTTGTCTCTTTTTTGTCCGCTTGCATCCTAGCCGCCCACCCGGGGGCCTTGCGCGCGTACTCGTCTTGGTGGGAGACAGGGTCTGTGACTGTGATGTCACAGATCCACACTGCACCGGTGTTGGGATGACGGATAGAGATATCCGCTTTGAGGTTATCGACCGGTGAGTATGCCGTTGTCTCTTTGTGCACCGTGAATCCTGCCTCGGCCGCGATCTTTGCGCACTCGTCGCGCAGGGCATTGTGCGTGCTAATTCTCCCCCCCCCTTTCTCACACCGCATCAAGTGATTCGGCAGACGGTTGTCCGGGAAGGTGGTGCGGAATCTGCAGTTGCAGCGTCTCGGCACTGGTAAGGGCAGTCCGAGGCGGAAGGATGCCGCGGTGGAGAATTGGGAGGGGCCGAGGCGGAGGGGAGAGATCAGGGGGATGGCGAGCAGCCAATCCCCCGCCCTTGGGCCTAAGAGGGATTGTAGTCTCTGTGTGTGGCCAAACAGTGGGTTCAGATCCATGGTCCTCGAGCTATCCAGCAGTCGGATGTAGCGCGCGGTGTGCACCGCGAGGGAGAGAGCTTGCTGCAGCTTTGGCCCGTTAGGCTTTTGCCTCCCAACTTGCAGGGCCTCTATTCTGTCTGGTGGCAGCTCGGCTTCCAGGGTTGCAAGGCGACGTGGGAGCAGGGAGGTGGAATCGCCGTCCGCGTCCATCAGCGGCAGCAGTCCTGGTAGGGCCGGGTTTGCCGCGTCGCCGAAGGAGCGTAGCAGGTGGGAGGCTACTACAACTGATTCCAGGTAAGCAAATCTCCCCTCCACCGCAGGGTTAGTAATGCCGAGGCCTCCTAGGGATGCAGGCAGCGCGGCTTGGTGCCGGATTCTGTCCCGCTCTGCCCGGTCCCTGGGGACCTGCGTGTGTGCCGCGGCCAGATAGGTGTGGAGCAATTGTTCCCCCCAGGCCGACCATTCTTCCTGCGGAAGGGCTTCGGGGGGCGTGGCTCGGACCAGGAACGAGGCGCGGCGGCCTATGCAGCGGGTGAGTAGTAGCAAGCAAGGTTGGGGGTCCATCTGTGTGAGGAGCGCGAGAGGTTCGGCTGCTGCTGCGAGGCGCTCGCGAACTCTGGACGCGCAACCTGTGGGGGGGGCGATGGGGCTGCCTAAGACGCGGACTCCGTCTTGTGATATTGTGATGTCGAGAGGTAAGGTGGAGGGGTCAAGCGCAGCTGCGGACCACGCCTCACACTTCGAGGGGTTGTGGACCAGCCCATGAAGTCGAAGGGCTTCCGTGAGGTGTGCAAAGGCTGCCGTGCAGTTGGCCGCCTGCCCCAGCAGGGTGATGTCATCAGCATACGCCAGAAACACCACCTCCGGATGTGCCGCCGCCGATTGGACGAGGCAGGGGTGAATGCTGGCTGCAAACAGCATGGGTCCTAGCGGGTCCCCTTGACGGACTCCCCGGGCGCTCCTTAGAGGTTCTGCTCCGAATTCATGGTCGAGGTAGAGCGCCGATGGGTTGCCGTATGAGAAGCGAATGAGGGGCACCAAGGCTTCGAGGTCGGTGCCTTTCAAGCCCTCGAACACTGCCGCGCGCTTGACTGCATTGAAGGCGTTGGCCAAGTCTATCTGCAGCGCTGTCGCTCCTGGGAATTCCTCCAGGTGGGTACGTGCTGTGTGGATTGCCGCCTCTATTCCTCCTGCGATTGCTACTCCGAACTGTAGCGGGGTGAAGTGCTCACGCGCCGCTGGTGCGGCTAGGAAAAGGGCCGCCTTGGCCACGAGGCGTAGTAGGCATTCGCCTACTGCTATCGGCCGCGTTGCACCTTTTGGTTTCGAGAAGGCGAGCACTCGTGACGCTGTTAGGAGTTCCGCCACGTCCGCCGTCAGCTTTCCAGAGAGTGCCGTGTTGGTAAGTGCATGCAACTGCAGGAAAACGTCCCCGTTCCCAAGGGCCGCATCTTTATGAGGCTCAAAGGTGGTGCCTGATGGCCCAGCCCCCACTCCGTTGGGGCATTTTGCCAGTAGTCGCCTGAAGTCCCGGGCAACGTTGGCAGGGACGTTCTCTGGGGCGTAGTCGAGCACCCAGGAAGGTATGGCCGTGGCGGTGTCTGGGTGTCTGGCTTTGAGCGCGTCAAGTACTTCGGCGCTCGGCGTGCAGACTGGCGTGGCGGTCAGAGTCTGTAGTGATTTCGCCAGGTTCCCCCGTTTTGCCAGGCCTTCGGCCCGCGAGAGCTTGCCTGTGTCGTCCGGTGTGTGTCGTGGTTGGGGGTTGCTGGTAACCGCGTCAGCTGCCTCGTCGTACAGGTTGCGCCACTGACCTTGGCGAAAGCGTGTCAGCCTGGCCCCCATGGCTTTCCAGTCGGGTGTGCGTGCTGACGAGGTGCGCAGCGGGATGCGCGGGAGGAACATCAGCAGCCTCCAGCCTGCGATGGAGTCGGGGTTTTTTGCCACGTGCAGCAGTGGCGTCAGCAGGCATATCGCGAAGGATTTGCGAAGTGGGCGGAGTGGGTGGCGGGCAAGGGGTGGCTGTTTGCTGTCGCGCAGTGGGCAGAGGTCCCAGTAGGCGACATCTGCGAAAAGGTCCTGACGGCCTGCGAGGTCGTCCGCGCTGATGATTGGGTCAGGGATGGCGGGCCTTGGGGCCGTGGCAATGGTTGGAGCGGTGGTAACCGCATTGAAGGGGGCGGCTCGGTTCTGCCTCGCGGTCCGATTTCTGGGAATTGGAATTGCAGATGCGTCTCGGCCTGGGGTTGGATTTTGGCCCGCTCCTTCGGCTGTGGCTCGGCTGGCAGGTTCGCCTCGGACATTTGGTGTGGCGAGCTCCTCTTCCCGAAGCAACAATTCCAAGTCATCCTCATCCTCCTCGGCTTCCGCACCCAACATCCCCTCTCTTTCAGGGTTAAAAGCGGGGTCACCCTCGTCACTTCCTTCATTCTCCACTTCCTCCTCTGCCTCCTTGCCAGGTGGATCCTTGCCGCCCTCTGCGCCGTTTCGTATCTGCCTCTCCGCGTTTCTCGCGTAGCCGCTTGCACCGGTGCGGCGCCTGTTTGAACCCCGTGCTTCACCTCCCCTTCGTCCTCGTGCTGTTCCCCTCCGCCCGCGGCGGCTACCGCGTCCCACGCGTATTCCGCGCGTTGCTCTTCCTACAGCAGCTCCCCCGCGCTCTGTTTGCGGCGCAGTGGCCACTTCGTTGTCGCGTTGTCGGCGCGCTGGCGTCGGCCGTGGTGTGATCGGAGGTGATGGACCCATCCGCAAGACGGGATCCGGAGCTGGAGGGATCCGCGGAGAGCGCGTTGCAGGAGCCTGCGCCCGCCGTGCCTCGTCCGCGCTTCCTCGCGCACCCCTTCGCGAGCGAGCCCGTCCGCCGCTTCGAGCGGGTGCCAACTCTTCCCCCTCAGCCTGCCGCGCGCCCAACCTCGCCGGAGTATTCGTGGGCGCCTGCACGTGTTGCGTCGAACCGTCCGGACGGTCCGCCGCGGCAGGAGCGAGGGCGCTCGCCTCCACGTCAGCCTCCTTGGCAGCCCTCTCCTCGCCGCCCTTCCCCTGAGCATCGCGAACATTATCAGCGAGGGGGGGGGGATCAGCGCTCCCCCGCGCGTCCTTGCTCCCCTCGCCGCCCATCCCTCCGTGGTCGGGCAGGCCAGCGCTCACCCCGAGCGCGATCCCCCGCGCAACGCTCTCCGCGGCGATCTCCGGCGACGCGGGGAAGGGGGTCTGGTCACCGCGGGCAGACCTCCCCGCGTCCACATTCGGCTGGTTCTGGGGGGCGGCGTGGCCGGCGGGGAGGCGGAGGGCGGGGAGGGGAATGGCCACCAGGGCGATCCTGCCCTTAATCACGCCGCGGACACGTTCGTGGAGGTGGTGAGGCAAGCCCACTCGCGCGAGGAAAGACCCCATGCTGAACATGTGCCGGGTTCAGAACCTGGCGGAGGCGAGCGAGGTGGTGGCGAACTTGCAGCTGGCGGTGTGTGGGGCCACCCGGAACTTTCCAAGCGGTTTCGGTCCAGGATCCCGAGGATCCTGCGTGACTTTGGCAGAATCGCTCGAGTCGCCGTTGGCGCCCGTGTGGGAAGCGCCCGCCGCGGTAGCTCCCTTAACCCGTACTTTCCCCCGCCATACACGATGTAGGCCTCCGCCGCATGTAATATTGCATGCCGTTCTCTCTTGCCTAGGCTCTGCTCCCTTGATTCCTTTGCATGAGTGTTCTTCCTTGTATGGCAGTCCACCGCCGGAAATGAACTCCACACGAAATAATGAGGAGAAGGAGAGAGGAACAGCCCTTAAATAGCTCTGGAGGGCGGAGGGCAGAGGGATGAGGCAGAGGGCACACGGCTAAGGGGTTTCCTCTCTCTCTCTCTCTCTCTCTCTCTCTCTCTCTCTCTCTCTCTCTCTCTCTCTCTCTCTATCTCTCTCTCTCTCTCTCGCTCTCTCCCACCGGAAATGAACTCCACACGAAATGGGTGGCCTATTTTCCAACTCAGATTTGGTAGGTGATAGCAAGGAGAGGTATACAAATCATTCTCGCTTGATGTTACTGTAGCATGTGTCCCTTCGAGGTAGTAGCGTGAATAGTCTCGTAACTTTTCGCGTGACATTGTAGAAGTACCGCTTCAATAGTTGACTCCATAAAACAACCTGGTTAGTAAACATGTACACCATGAATTTGTCAAACTTATATGCTGCTTATTGTGTAGGCTGTCCCCTACTACCGTCTCTTCCCCTACCGCACTCCGTCCCTCGCCCCGCCACCGCTCTTCCTTGTGCCACGTCCCCCCCCGGTAGACCCCCTCCCTCCTCAGAGTCCTGCCCCTTCAAGTGTGTCCCAGGTAGATGCTGTTGAGCCTGTCGAGGTCGCTAGTGACTCTGATGCTGACTCTAGGGGTGCTGAGCGTGTGGGTGCTACGCCTGGGGGTGATGAGCCTGAGAGTACTACGACTGGGGGTGCTGAGCCTGGGGGTGCTGAGTCTGGGGGTGCTGAGCCTGGGGGTGCTACGCCTGGAGGTGCTGAGCCTGGGGGTGTGGAGCCTGAGGGAGCCGGGCCTGCTGGTGCTGTGCCTGGCGGTTCTCCGGGTGCTTTTCTCGCCTGGAGCCACTCTCTCCACAGGAGTTGCGTGAGTGGTTTGCCCGGCGCTGGAGGCGAGCTGCTTGAGTTGGAGGTGCTGCGGGTACTGGAGATTCTGTTGCTGCTGAGGGAGCTGGTGCCATGGGTCCCATAGGTGCTCGTACTGAGAGTACTGGAGCTGCTGGACCTGCGGGTACTTCTGGAGCTGGAGCTGCTGCGGGTGTTGGCGCGGAGGCTACTGCTGTCGGTCCCGGAGGCAATCCTGCTGGGGGTACTACTGGTGCTGCTGGAGGTACTGGAGCTGGAGCTGCTACTGGTGCTGGTGCTGCCACTGGGGGTGCTGGTGCTGTCCCTGCTGTGTCTTGAGTCGCCGCCCGGCCTTGGCCGTACTTCGTTCCGCTCCTTCAGCAGGTTCTTCGTCTCCCGTCTTCTATTGGTCCTCCTCCTCCCTTAGAGTGTCCACAGCCTGTCCCGTCGTAGTTACAGTTACAGCCGGCCTCCCCACTGCCTGCTCCGTCTCCCTACACTGGTCCTACTGGAGGTCTTGTTGAGCGTCGTGAGCCTGCGTCTCGCCCTGTGTCGCCTGTCCGTGCTGCTCGCTCTAGTGGTCGCGGTTCGTGTCAGCGTCCTCCTCCTGTCCCTGGCATGCACCGGATGTCTTTGCGTCCATCCACTGCTCCTTTGCATGCCCCTTTGCCTTCTCCACCTGAGTCTTCTCTTCCTGCTCTTGCCGACCCGGAGTTGGACTCCCTTCGTGCTGCCGGTCCTACTGTCACGTGTCTCCTTGCTAATGTTGTTACTGACCCTTCCTTTGAGTCCACTACTGCGTCTGCCCTAGTTACTGAGCTTGTCGACTTTGCTGCTCGCTATCGTCTAGACTACGCTGCTAGTCTTGTCCGTGAGTCTAAGTCTATCTGTCCTCCATCCGTCGGGGGTGAGTGTGCCCTTGGCACGGACGTCCTTGAGGACACGCAGGAGGAGTTCCAGTGCTTGGCCACTGCTTCACCTCATCTCGTGTCCGTACTGCTTACCCCTAAGGGAGACCCGGATGCACTTGACATCCTAACTCCGCGCTCTTACGCGGAGGCGATAGAGGGTCCCTACTCCTCTCAGTGGCAGGCAGCTATGGATGCAAAGATGGCTTCCTGGAAGTCCACAGGCACCTACGTTGACGCTGTTCCCCCGCATGGGGCGAACATCGTCAGTGGCATGTGGATTTTCAGGGTGAAGCGACCGCCGGGTTCTCCGCCTGTCTTCAAGGCGCGTTACGTGGCTCGAGGCTTCAGTCAACTGCAGGGAGTTGACTACTTTCAGACCTTCTCTCCCACCCCGAAGATGACCGCTCTTCGGGTATTGCTGCACATAGCTGCTCACCGTGACTACGAGCTTCACTCTCTTGACTTCAGCACTGCATTCTTGCAGGGCAGCCTGCACGAGGAGATCTGGCTGCGTCGCCCACCTGGTTTGACTGGGTCTTTTCCTCCTGGCACCCAGTGGAGGCTCCGGCGGCCAGTCTACGGTCTCCGCCAGGCACCGCGTGAGTGGCACGACACACTGAGGACTACACTTGCGGCTCTTGGGTTTGCTCCCTCTACTACCGACCCGTCGCTTTCTCTACGCACCGACACTTCTTTTGCCGCCGTTCTACATCCTCGTGTACGTCGATGACTTGGTCTTTGCCACAGCAGACACTGTTGGACTCGCCCACATGAAGTTCGAGCTGCAGAAGAGACACACGTGCACTGACCTGGGTGAACTGCGCAGCTACCTTGGCTTGCAGATCACTCGGGAGAGAGCACGCTGCACCATTACCCAGACTCAGTCACACATGGTGCAGCAGGTCCTTTAGCGCTTCGGCTTCACGTACTCCTCGCCTCAGGCCACTCCTCTGCCTACTCGCCACTCGCTCTCAGCTCTGCCTTCGGATGAGTCCGTAGAGTCGAGTAGCCTGTACCTAGAGTTTGTTGGCTGCCTCATGTACCTGATGACCTGCACACGACCTGACCTTGCATACCCTCTTAGCATTCTCGCACGCTATGTTGCTCCTGGGAGACACAGAACGGAGCACATGGCTGCAGCGAAGAGGGTGTTGCGCTAGTTGTGCAGTACGTCGGGCATGGGGCTTGTGCTTGGAGGGAAGAGTCCAGTGGTCCTTTCTGGGCACGCAGACGCTTCTTGGGCTGACGACCAGGCTACGCAGCGGTCATCACAGGGTTACACCTTCAGCCTTGGTTCCGGCTCTGTTTCGTGGCGGGCTACTCGCTCGTCTTCTGTTCTCGGCTCCAGTTGTGAGGCTGAGATCTACGCAGGAGCCATGGCTGCACAGGAGCTTTGCTGGCTCACCTACCTGCTGACTAACCTCGGAGAGCAGCCTCGTTCTCCTCCAGTGCTGTACGTAGACAACAAGGCCATGCTGGCCTTGAGTCGGGAGCAGCGACTGGAGCAGAGAACGAAGCACGTTGCTCTCCGCTACTTTCTTGGTCGTGAGCTGCAGCAGCATGGTCAGCTGCGTCTTGCGTATGTGGCCTTTGAAGCCAACACTGTTTATATCTTCACCAAGGCGCTTGCGCCTTGTGACCATAAGCGCTTCTGTACTCAGCTGGGCCTTGTCCCTTCCTTGCCTCACTTGCTCACCTCTTGACCTTGCTTGTACTGTTACATATATATATACCTGCTCTTGCTTGTCTAGCCTTTTTATATATATATACTCCTGCATGTGAACTGGCCTTGTGGCCTTGAACTTGTGCTCGAAATGTGTGGTGACTTTGTGATCCACCGTGAGCTTGCTTTGCTTTGCTTTGCTTGATTGGTCTTGTGACCCCTTGTTCTCCCCCACTTTGCCTATGAGGGTGTGTCAAAACATTATAGCTCATGCATATTTTGTAGGCTATAGTGGGGTAGCCCATAAGGGGTACAACCCAATTAGGGTTAGTACTTGTACCCAATTCATTCATAGTTTATTCATTCTCGTTTCAATTCTCACATATATGACATATAACATAGGATTATATTTATGAATTGGTGTGGTCGTTTAGGGCATAGGGTACATTCGTGGCCCGTGTCAGACTTCAGGTCAAAAGCACTCAGTCTCCAATTGGGCTCATCAGAACTCGGAATTGCCTCACAAACGAGCCACTTCGGGTCTTCCGAGCCTTCACTTCGGGTCTGAATTTATGCATGACACAGGCTACGAATGTACCCATAGATTTTGATTGTTAAGACCATTTTTATGTTTGGTTGGTTCTTGTTCTGTACAGATTATTTGGTTTTAAGGTGAGTGTGAAAATCTAAAACAACAAAATGATTATAACAAAGCTCTGTGCACAACGAGATTCGAAGTTACGACCTACACGATTAACCGCGACTTCGGCAGCATTGTGCTAGACACGTTGTTTGGTTTCTGCGTCAAGTTTAAACAGTCCGTATAAAAATGAAAAACGTCTTTTTCTAGGGTTTCGTCAAATGTCTTTGTGCTCTGTTTCTCTTCTAACTACTCAGACTACTTAAGCTCCTCGCGTCCCTCACGCCACTCACGCCACTCACACCACTCACACTAAAGCTCATATAAGGTAAGGCTTATTCTCTCTATTCCTAAGCTCATTCTAGTTGAGAGTGGATTCTTTGTCTAGATGTAGATACCAATGTTGACCAATAGTTGATATAACTACTTATTTGATTTATCATACTCTGTTTTTCCGTCTTGTTTACCTCGTTTTTGTTGCTTGTTCTAGTTCCTTCATGATTTTTATTCGCATTCCTTCTATCTCCATCATTTATGCATATCTCTCTCTAACGATTCTCCCTCCCTTGTCCGTCACTCTTCCTCATTTTTGCTTCTTTATCCTCTCACTAATGTCATTTTGCTGGTGCAAGTCGTGCTGGCGTTTTATTGGTAGCTGAGACTCGCCCTCTACTCACGCTCCAACCTACCACTAAAAGATGAGAATACATTTAAGCTCTCAACTAGAACTAAGTTAGACTCTTTTAGGCTATATTAACATTTCCGTAATGTCGTATACCACTCGTTTACTTCTGAGTTAGACCGTTTTGTGAGGCATATATGCTATAGTTTGTTTAGGCTGTAGTGGGGCAGTTCATATGGGGTACAACACTTTATGGTTTACTACTTGTACTCCTCATTCTGCTCAATGCATTCATTCTTGTTCCTTATCATGGTATCGAGCAGGTTCCCTAGTGGGAACACTACCAAGGGCCCACCACAATATTTTTATTCCTGCCCGGAGCGCGCTTCACTCCTGCCCGAGTCGCGCTCTGTGTGCCCTCCCTTCCTTTGAGCCGTCCTTAGTGGCCCCTCTCACGGCCCGTTTGGCCGCCCTTACGGCCCGTCTCGCCGCCCTCTACGGCCCCTCGCGCCGCCCTTACGGCCCTTTACGGCCCCTCGCGCTGCCCTTACGGCCCCTTGCGACCCCTCGCGCCGCCCTTACGGCCCTCTCGCGGCCCCCTTTCAGCCCCTTGTGAGAATGAACGAGAATGAATGCACTATGAAAGAGTTGGGTACAAGTACTAACCCTAATTGGGTTGTACCCCCATATAGGCTACCCCACTACAGCCTACACAAAAGCATAAGCTATAATGTTCTGACACCCCTCGCGGCGCCCTTTCCAGCCCCTTACGGCCGCGTCGCAGCCCCGTTTAGGCCCCTTGCGACCCCTCTTCAGCCCCGTCTAGGCCCCTTGCGGCCCCTCTGCGGCCCCGTATAGGCCCCTTGCGGTCCCTCTGCGGCCCCTTTGAGACCCCGTTGCCGCCACCTGCGGCCCCGTCGCCGCCACCTGCGGCCCCGTCGCCGCCACCTGCGGCCCCGTTGCCGCCACCTGCGGCCCCGTCGCCTCCACCTGCGGCCCCGTCGCCGCCACCTGCGGCCCTGTCGCCGCCACCTGCGGCCACGCAACCACCACCTGCGGCCCCGCCGCCACCTGCGGCCCCGTCGCCGCCACCTGCGGCCCCGCCGCCACCTACGGCCCCGTCACCGCCACCTGCGGCCCCGTCGCCGCCACCTGCGGCCCCATCGCCGTCACCTGCGGCCCCGTCGCCCTCCCCTAGCGACCCTGTCACCATGTACATCACCCTCTACTACATAGTCACCCGGCTCCCTGACTCTCTCCGCGTAGTCAGGGACCACTTCCTCTCAGTTTGCCCTACCATTCTCACCGTTGACCTCCTCGAGAAGGCCCTCCTAGCAGCAGAGAAGAGCATAGTCGCTGTAGGAGCCTCTCGTGGTGATCCTCACACCCCCGTCTTTGAGGGGTCTTCCCCCTCCCCCCTTTTGCCCTCTATTGCCTCTGTTGCTGCAGCCGACCTCGTTGGTTTAGAGTCGCTCTACGGTGCGTCTGCCCCGAGCCGGAGACGCCGCACCGGCAAGGGCAAGGGGGGCAAGGGCGCAAGAGGGGCTGGCAGTGGTGGTGGAGGTGGCGGTGGAGGCAGTGGAGGGGGTGGGGGTGGTGGTGGGAGTGGTGGCGGGGGTGGAGGTGTCGGTGGCAGCAGTGGAGGCGGAGGAGGCGGCGGCGGTGGCGGAGGGAGCGGAGGCCGCGGAGGCGGTGGAGGCCGCGGAGGCAGCGGAGGTGGCGGAGGCGATGGCGGCAGCAGTGGACCTGGTCGCAGCTCTGCGCAGAGGAGTGGCTCGGGTGGCGGTACGCGCCAGCAGCAGCAGCGCGGTCGTGAGACCTTGTCCTCTCAGCAGCTTCGTGAGTGGTACGCTGTGCGTCAGCGCCTTGGGGGTACTGATCCCTGCACCTACGTTCTCCGCACCGGCGATCGCGCTGGTGAGCAGTGCGGGGGCCCGCACTCCACCCAGTGCTGCTTCGGCCGCCTGACAGACGCGTGGTGTCCTCAGTTCCCTGAGGCCTCTGAGATCCCTCGCTGGGGAGAGTTGTCTAGGGCGGGGGTTGCTATCTTTGATCTTGATTTTGATGCTATTCTTGCTGCCATGTATGCTATTGCTGATAGTGTTGAGGGTGACTATTACCTGTGTGATCCGCCTGACCCGGGCATTGAGGCTGCTGCTCTAGGTGCTAGTGCGTGTGCTGCCCCAAGTGCTGGTGAGTCTGCCCTCTCAGGTACCACGTCGGCTCAGGCCTTACACACCTTCACCCTTGACTCGGGTACTTCCCGCTCCTTCTTTCGGGACCGCACCACACTTACGCCGCTCTGTCTGCTGGTTGCGGTATCCCTGGCGGACCCTTCTGGGAGTCCTGACCTTGCTCACTTCTCCACTATCTTACCGTGTCCGGCAGCCCCCTCTTGCACCCTGTCAGGTCTCTATCTCCCCTCGTTCTCTACAAACTTGGTGAGTGGAGCAGACCTCAAGGATCGGGGGGTTGACCAGTTCACCCCTGCGAATTAGCGGGTGACCCACTGCACGTGTGCTCGGACAGGTCGACACTTGGCCACGTTCACCTGTCGGCCGGGGTCGAGCCTGTACACCCTCACTACTGAGGCTCCTCCGGCTGCTGAGCCTGGTAAAGTCGCTGCGTCGAGTCAGGTGTTTGCTGCAGTGTCCAGGTCTAGACCTGAGTCTGCTCCCTGCTTGTGTCGTCTCGTGTCCCACCAGACTCTCCTTTGGCACCACCGCCTTGGTCACCCCTCTTTGCCTCGTCTCCAAGGCATAGCCTCCCGTGTCCTTGTCTCTGGTCTCCCCCGGTCTCTCCCTCCTCTACCTCCGGGGCCTGCCCCTACCTGCGTCCCCTGCGTCGAGGGGCGACAGCCCACCACCCCTCACTCCTTTGAGTTTCCTCCGACAGAGGCTCCGTTGCAGACTCTTCACATGGACCTGTGGGGCCCCGCCCGCATCCGTGGCCAGGGGCACGAGCGTTACTTCCTATTGGTGGTTGACGACTACTCGCGTTACACCACGGTGTTCCCTTTACGCAGCAAGGGCAATGTCACTGAGGTGTTGATCGACTGGATCCGCGCAGCTCGTCTCCAGCTCAGAGAGAGTTTCGGCTTCGACTTTCCTGTTCTGCGTCTTCTTTCTGACAGAGGCGGGGAGTTTTCCTCTGTCCGTCACGGAGCCTTCTGACGTGCACAGGGCATCCGCCAGACCTTCACGCTTCCGGCCTCTCCACAGCAAAATGGGATTGCTGAGGGCCGCATTGGCATGGTCATGGACGTCGCTCGTACGTCCATGATCCATGCGGCAGCCCCCCATTTTCTGTGGCCGTTTGCGGTTCAGTACGCAGCGCATCAGCTCAACCTTCAGCCCCGAGTCTCCTTACCAGAGACTTCTCCCACCTTGTTGGTGGATGGGGAAGGTTGGCGATGCGTCTGCGTTTCAGGTCTGGGGATCTCGGGCGTTTGTTCGCGACTTGTCTGCGGACAAGCTGTCCCCCCGTGTTGTTCCCTGCGTCTTCCTTGGCTTCCCCCCTGACGCGCTTGGTTGGAAGTTTTACCACCCCGCCTCACGCCGTGTTCTGTCCTCCCAGGACATCACCTTTGACGAGTCGCTACCTTACTACCGTCTTTTCCCCTACCGCGCCGCACCCCTTCCCCCACCGCTACTTTTCCTTGCACCAGGTCCTCCCCCAGTAGACCCCCTCCCCCCTCAGGGTCCTGCTCCGTCAGGTGTGTCCCAGGTAGACGCTGTCAAGCATGTCGAGGTAGGTGTTGACTCTCCTGCTTCTAGAGATGCTGAGCCTGTGGGTGCCGGGTCTGAGGGTGCTGAGCCTGGGGGTGCTGAGACTGGGGTTGCAGAGTCTGGGGGTGCTTATTCTGGAGGTGCTGGGCCTAGGGGTGCATAGCTTGGGGGTGCGGAGCCTGGGGGTGCGGAGCCTGGGGGCGCTGGGTCTGCTCATGTGGCCGCCCGCGGTCTCTCCGCAGAAGCTGCGCGAGTGGTTTGCCCGGTGCTGGAGTCGTGCTGCTGGAGCTGGAGGTACTGCTGTTGCTACTGGTCCCGGCGGTGCTCATACTGGCGGTGGTGGAGCTGCTGGACCTGGGGGTGCTGCTGGGGCTACTTGAGTTGGTCATGCTGGAGCTGCTGGCGGTACTGGATCTGCTAGTCCTGCAGGAGTTGGTGCTGCTGGAGCTGTTGGAGCTGGAGCTGCTTGGGGTGTTGGCGCTAGTGGATTTGCTGGCGCTGGTGCGTCTGAGGGTGCTGGAGTTGGCGCTGTTGGAGCTGGAGGTGCTGCTTGTACTGGTGCTGTCCCTGCTGGTTCTGGAGGCGCTCTGCGGCCATGGCCGTACTTCGTTCCGCTCCTTGAGCAGGTTCTTGGTCTCCCACCTTCTACTGGTCCTTCTTCTCCCTAAGAGTGTCCACAACCTGTCCAATTGCAGTCACAGTTACAGCCCGCCTCCCCTCTACCTGCTTCTTCTCCCTACACTTGTCCTACTGGATGTCTTGCTGAGCGTCGTGAGCCTGCGTCTCATCCGGCGTCTCCTGTTCGTGCTGCACACACTATGGTCGTATTGCGCGTCCGCGTCCTCCTATGGTCCCCGGCACACACCAGATGGCGCTGCGTCGTTCCACTGCTCCTCTGCGTGTCCCTTTGCTGTCTCCTCCACAGTCCTCTCTTCCTACTCTTGCTGACCCGGAGTCTGACTCTCTTCGTGCTGCCAGTCCTTCTGTCATGCGTCTCTTGGCTACGATTGTCACTGACCCTTCCTTTGAGTCAACTGCTGCGTCTGCCCTAGTTGCTGAGCTTGTCGACTTCGCTGCTCGCTATCGTCTAGACTACGCTGCTAGTCTAGTTGCTAGGTCTGAGTCTGTCAGACCTCCGTCCGTCGGGGGTGAGTGTGCTCTTAGCACGGACGTCCTTGAGGACAAGCAGGAGGAGTTCCAGTGTTTTGCTGCTACTTTGCCTCATCTCGTGTCCACGCTGATTGCCCCTGAGGGAGACCCAGATGCACCAGACATCCCGACTCCTCGATCGTACGCTGAGGCGATCGAGGGTCCCTACTCCTCTCAGTGGCAGTCGGCCATGGACTCAGAGATGGCTTCCTGAAAGTCCACAGGCACCTACGTCGACGAGGTTCCCCCACCTCGGGCAAACATTGTCAGTGGCATGTGGATTTTTAGGGTGAAGCGGCCGCCGGGTTCTCCGCTTGTCTTCAAGGCGCGTTACGTGGCTTGAGGCTTCAGTCAGTGGCAGGGAGTTGACTACTTTCAGACCTTCTCTCCCACCCCGAAGATGACCACTCTTTGGGTGCTGCTGCACATAGCCGCTCAGCGCGACTACAAGCTTCACTCTCTTGACTTCAGCACAGCTTTCCTACAGGGCAGCCTGCACGAGGAGATCTGGCTGCGCCGCCCACCCAGCTTCAGTGGGTCATTTCCTCCTGGTACCTAGTGGAGCCTCCGACGGCCAGTCTACGGTCTCCGCCAGGCGCCCCGTGAGTGGCACGACACACTGAGCACTACACTAGCGGCTCTTGGGTTTGCTCCTTTTACAGCCGACCCGTCGCTGTTTCTGCGCACCGACACCTCTTTGCCGCCGTTCTACATCCTTGTGTACGTCGACGACTTGGTATTTGCCACTGCTGACACTGCTGGACTCGCCCACGTGCAGTCCGAGCTGCAGAAGAGACACACGTGCACAGACCTGGGTGAACTGCGCAGCTACCTTGGCTTGCAGATCACCCGGGACAAAGCACTTCGGCTTCCTCGCTTGGCCAGGCCTTCCGCCCTGCTGAGAACTCCCGTCTCGTCTGGCTGGTGACGTGGAGGCGGTGGGGTATTGTTGGCTTCGATCGTGTCAGAGTACAGCTGCCCCCATTCGCCACGCTGGAAAGCTCTGAGACGGGCTTTGACTTTGGGCCACTTCGGTCTTCTTGGCGACGGTTGGCGAAGTGTGAGCCGAGGGAGAAACAGCAGCAGTCGCCAGCCTGCGACTGAGTCAGGGTTTCGCGCGAGGTGTAGGAGCGGGGTGAGTAACACCAGCGAAAATAGCTGACACAAATTGGGCGGTAATCGGCGCGACAGGGATGGTTGACGACTGTCGCAAAGTGCCGCCAAGTCCCAGTCATCGATGGCTGCGAACAGGTCTGATCGTTTCGCCAATTCCCCTGGCGAGAAGTAGCGGGGGAAATGTGCTTGGTTTGCGGACGCGCTG